CCCCCCCCGCTTCTTGCAGAGAAAAAAAAAAACCCAGGGAGGGGGCGTTTATTCCTCCTCGCTCCCCCCCACTCCACCCCTGTCCTGGGGAAGGACGCACATGCGCTCTCGCTCACCTGAGCCACAGTCCGGAAGAAGTCTCAAAAGGCAGGCGGCGTGGGCAAAGGCGCATGCGCATCCCCGGCCTCTCCTGCTCTCTTTCCCCCACCCCAACCCCGCCCGCCCCTCGGGAGGCGTCGGCGGGTGGCGCAGTGCGAGTTTTGCAAGCCGGGCGGGGCAAACGTGTGAAGGGGCGGCTGCAGAGGGTTTGGGGCGGGAGGGGGGGGGAGGCTGGGTCTGTCTCTCAAGCAGCCTTTGCAAGGCGCGCAGGCGGAGGATCCCGTGCATGCACGCACGGAAACGGGATGTCTCTGGTGTGGCAGGTTGGATGGGGCGGGGGGGGGGGGTCGCGCATTTTTTTTAGGAGGGAAGGGGTTTTGCGGGCTCTTTTTCTCTCCGGTGACAAGTGCAATAAAGGCTATTGTGAGCGTTTCTCTCTCTCTCTCTCTCTCTTTCCTTCCTTCCCTTCTTTCCCTCTCCTTCCCTTTTCCCTCTTCCCTTCCTTCCCTTTCTCCCTTCCCTTCTTTCCTTCTCCTCCCTTCCTTTTTCTTTCTCCGTTCCTTCCCTTTCCCTCTCCTTCCTTCCCTTTTCTTTCTCCCTTCCTTCTCCCTTCCCTTCCTCACTCTCCTTCCCTTTCTTTCTTTCCCTCTCCTTCCTTTTTTTCTTCCTTCCTTCCCTTTCCCTCTCCTTCCTTTCCTTTCCTTTCTCCCTTCCCTTCCTCACTCTCCTTCCCTTTTCTTTCTCTGTCCCTTCCCTTTCCCTCTCCTTCCCTTCTTTCCTTCCCCTTTCTTTTCTTCTTCCTTCCCTTTCTTTCCCTTTCCTTTCCTTCTTTCCTCCTTTCTTTCCCTCTCCTTCCTTTTTTTCTTTCTCCTTTCCTTTAATCCTTCTCATTCTCTCCTTCCTTTTTCTATATTTCCCCCTCCTTTCTTTGTCTCTTCCCCCCATTTCTTTTCTTTCTTCCTTTCTTTCCTTTTCCTTGTTTCTTTCTCTCCCCTCCCTTCCTTCTTTCTCCTTCTCTTCCCTCCCTGCTTTCCTTCCTTCCTTTTCTTCCCTTCTTTCTCCTTTCTTTCACTCCTTCCTTTTTTCTCCCTCTTTCTTTTTTCTTTCCTCCCTCCGTCTTTCCTTTCTTGTTTTTTTCTTTCTCCATCCCCTCCTTCCTTCCTTCTTTTTGCCTTCCTCTCCCTCCCTTTCTTCCTCCTTCTCTTCCCTCCCTCCCTTCTTCCATTTCTCATTTCTTTCTTCCTTCCTTCCTTTCTCTCCCCTTTCCTCCCTCCCTCCTTTCCTTCCCCCATCTCAATAAATTGTAATATTAAACAGCTGCCCCTCGTTAAATTGCTCTTAAAATTACACACACACACACACACGTATACACATGCACAACTCACTTTGCGTCCTGTCGGGTCATCAATTTATCCATTGATAAATTTATCCTTACCAGATTCCTCCAGGCATTCTGGATAGTGACATTATGCCTGTAGCATTTCTTACCTCCTTCCAATAGTTTGAAGTCTACTAAACCGCATAAATCAAGGTTTCAGGGACAAGCTTATGAGGTCTTTGAATGCAAATCCAGCATATAGGTAATCCTTGAATTACAACCAATCATTTAGCAACTGTTCAAAGTCACAACCGCACTGAAAATAGTGACTTGTGACCCCTAGAGCTTAATTTCTTCAAAAACCTAGAATTGCCATTTAAAATTGTTGGGATCCCTTCAGACAGAGAGAAAACAGAGCCCATAGAAACACCCTTGCTCTTAAATTTCGTCTGAAACGCAAGGTTTGTGATTTATAAATGAAAACCCAGAAATGATTTGGAATTTAATGTTCTTATTTTGGGATGAAAATGGGAGAATTCGAGTCCCACACCCTGGATGGGGACGGTGAGTCGGGGAAAACAAACAAACTTGGCTGCATTCACACAACCACACAGACACACAAAACACAGATTAGATGGTTTGGGATTCCAGATCCCAGAATGAGCAGCTAATATAAATGGAGGGTATCCATGGGAAAACATCAAGGTCCTCTGGGTTTTGAATGCACCCTCGCAGGAGCACGTGTGAGCGTAAGAAAGGAGGAAAACACGCGTCAGAACCCGCGTTGGAACAAAGGCACTACTTCTCCTCCTCCGAGCCCCTCCCCTCCCGTGCAAGACCCCCTCAGCGGAAGGACACCGCGGTGAAGCGTCCCAGAGCCCCTGTTACGTCACAATCCCGCCTCAGTGTCGCTCGGAAAGGAACCAAAAGAAAAGAAAAAAAAAACCAGAAGCGCGCGGAGGCGTCCCTCGTCACCCGGGGAAACGGCCGACGCTCGCCTCAGTCCCACGCGTGGCCCTCAACGCGCACGCGCGAAAGGGAAAGCCGAACCGGGACTTTTAAAATCCGCGGGCGTGGGGGGCGGCGACGGGCTTGGCAACAGCGCTCGGAGGGAGGGGCGGGGAGAGAGCGCGAATAGGCGCGGGGACCGGCCAATCGGAGAGGCGGGATGGTCTGAAGGCCGGCGCGGATTGGCCTTGGCGCGGGGCGCGCGGGCCGGCGGAGGGGCGGGACGTGCGCGAGGCTGACAGTTGGGCAGGATGTCGGCGAGGAGGCGCATCGGCGTCCCTGAGGTAAGAGGGGTGGGGGGCGCCGTGGGGTGGGGGGGGTCGTGAGGGGGCTTCCCAGAAGGCGGGAAAGGAGGCACGCGACCCCGGATTTAAGGGGGGGAGGTCTGAGGAGGGGTCCCCCCCAAACCGTGAGGGCCCTGAAGAGGCCTCGGGACCCGGCCTCGGCCCTAGAGAAGCCCCCTCCTTCAGGCCTGGTCGCAGTGAGGGGGTCCCCAATATCCTGAGGGAGTCGTCAGTCGAGCATGGGGCCTGTTTGCTTATATTTATGCCTTTCTAGTACTTCTGAATGGGGTGGGGGGCGCGACAATAGCCAGAAAATCGGAATTTAAAGCAAAAATCGGGATTTAAAGCACCCATTATTGGGTGTTTGGGGGGGGTGCAACCTGGTCTTTTTATATATATATAAATACGGCTCTATTTAGCCCATTCTAGGGGCTTCAGACCCATAAGTGGCGCCCCTGGATCTCTTTGCCATTACAACAACCCTGCGAGGTAGGACGGGTTGAGGGGGACCAACTCCAAATCACTCCTGGATTTGGGGTGGGGGGGAAATACAAGGAGTCCTGGTGTTCAAACTTACATCGGCATTGTGACGTAGGAGCCTTGGTTCTCGCACTTATGACTGTTGCTGCACCGTCACGTTCATGGGATTGAATTCAGGGCCAGGTGGATTTAGGAAGGTTATAGTGTCCTGAGGTCCTGTGTGTGTGTGTGTGTGTGTGTGTGTGTGTGTCTATTTGTGACCTCAGGGGGATTTCAGGCAAGCAAAGTCAATGGGGGGGGGATGAGAGAGATTCACTTAATGACCTCACTGGCTTGTCGGAAAGGTCGCCAAAGGGGAACCCGTGACCTCGAGACGCTGCAACGGTCACAAACATGAATCGATCGACAAGCGCCTGAATTCGGATCACGTGACCACCACAGGATGCGAGGACCGCTCGTCAGTCGGTTTTTAAAGTGCCGACGTAACTTCCAACCCAAGAACGTTGGTCGTAAGTGGGAGAGGGCTTCGTGGTATCCGAAGCAGAACATCCAGATTGCCGTTGTTAAGTAAAATATTAAGTGAGTATTGCCGCATTTTACGACCGCTGTTGTCACAGTGGCTAAGTGAATGACTGCAGTTGATAAGTTAGGAACCTGGTCGTTAAGTGAATCTGGCTTTTTCCATGGACTTGGGTTGTCGGGAGTTGAAGAAGAAGCTTCTCAGCTGAGAAGCTAAACGTTTTCAAAGAAAAAAAACATCGGAAAGTCCAGTTGCCTCTTGGGGGGAAAAAAACACCTTTGGGACATTAATTCCAAGGTTAACATCAGACCAACAATCAAGTAAACACCACAATCAAGAAACTGACAAAGAGCCAACAGTAAACAACCAAGGAACCTCTAAGATCATCCCACCAACATTGAAAGGGCAAGTCACCAGAATATAAACTAACTACACTCCTTACTAGCACTGATGATGTTACCTAGTTGGGTAATGAAACGTCTTCAAGAAAACAAGCAAGCTCAGAG